AAAAAAAAAAAAAAAAAAAAAAAAAAAGAAAAAGAAAGAAAAGAAAAGAAAAGGAGAATTCATTAGTTTACCTGTGTTAGGGTAGTTGCATCTGCAATAACAAATGGAACATTAACAAACCGTGCCAAGGTTTTGGCAAGTAGTGTTTTCCCTGTCCTTGAAACAATATTAAAGGGGAGTAAGACAGAATAATGTCAGGGTTCACAATAAGTAGTGACAATATTAGACAGCAAGCAAAAACAATTTGAACTATGTTCAATCAAGCGGTGATTAGTTAGGCTTCAAATTGAAGGAAAGTGTCGTATTTTGTCAGGCTGATTGCAATAGTGAGATGGAGTTTTGGAATTGGACTACCGATGGGGTTTCTAAGAGGCTCAACTAAATGGAAGAATGTTATTACACAAAGGAAGGCTTACTCCTACTGAATCAGTTCTCTCCAGCGTGCATACTTATTACACGTCTCTTTTTCCAAATCCCTCTAAAGCACTCAGACTTGCGAAAAAAAAAGAGGCTACCTTCAGGCAGGAGAAGGCATTGATTGAGCGATATTTGGTTGGTAGGAAGAATGGCACTATTCTGTTCATAAGGAGAGGGCCACGAGCCTAGACTTTGGAAATCTTAAGAAAAATTATAGCTGCTTTTGAAGTCTTGAGAAAAAAATATAGCTCGTCTCTAATTGAGTTTGTATAGATCTTTATTCTAAATTATCAGTTATGAAAAATCAAATTCCAAAAGATGTGGTAATTGTTGAACGTTTTAATCATACACAAACAACGTAGGCTTTAATACACAAAGGGCACATAGAATAAATTACCTGAGCCTGTTGGCCCCATCAGAAGGATGTTACTTTTCTCAAGTTCCACTTTATCATCATCCACAGCATCAGCTTTGTTGTCAACTGTATCTCCTGTAGGCCTAGCTCGCACAAGCAAAACAAAACAGTTAAACGTTCGTGTTTTGTTACTTTATAGAATGAGCACACCCTCAGTGAGTGCAGCATGACAAGGAGAAAAATCAATCATCCGTCTAAATAGAATATCCATAATATATATCATTATTATCCACAAAAGAATATACACTCAACTCCTTGTAGGGGAAGGAAAAAAGGAAATCATAGATCACTGACGTCATAAAAATACAAATGTTCTATACATATTCAAAAGATAGATGCAAGACAAACGCTCAAAAAGATAGAGACAGCACATCGTCTAGAAGAATTATGCTAGACTGGATTCCCAACTTGACATTGAGCTCAAAGTTGCCAGTTCCCCATTTCCCAATGTGACCGTCCAAATCATTGTATCCTTTCTTTTATTAATACCAGCAAACCAGACTGGTTAAACTAGGCTCTGCAGGTTTTAGACTAGTAAAATGCCATGCTCCAAGTACAAGCATCAAGATATGTGTGTCTCTGTGTATGTTTGGAGAGTTACCTTTAGAGTTCAACAACTATGTTAGCCACCAAATTATGGCAATCAATGAAGAAAACTAGGACAATAGAGACGTTGGTTGTGAGTTTTAACTTCTAACCAAAACCATTGACCTCCCAAGGGCACTCCTTACTAACTCGGATATACTCAAGTCAAAAGGAAAAATAACATAGACAGGAAGTATCTAACATTCAAATTCACAACCTTTGTAGCGATTCATGATAGATGCGCTTGTAGTGATTGTAAACACCCACAGAGAGCACNAAAAAAAAAAAAAAAAAAAAAAAAAAAAAAAAAAAAAAAAAAAAAAAAGAAAGAAAAGGGAACACTTTCTTCAGACAACAAAATGAGTGTAGCTGACTGAATCGACAATGTCCAGCCACAAACGAGTTTTACCTTTTTAGCTCTCTCCTGACCAATTACAAATTTATCAAGCCCCTTGGAGATTTCCTTCGGGGTTGGGAAATTAGGTCCCAGACTAGAACCACCCCAACACCCATCATTCGAGTTCGAGCTGAACTCACCACCAGAACCAGAGTTGGAGCTGCCACCGCCGCCTCCACGACCATTCAAGTTTGGATTGCTCCCACGAATCACAATCCCATCTCCAGACCAAACCTCCGGCGGGTCCCCATAAGTGCTCATAAAACAACCCCCCCTGCCCAACTTCCCATACAAGTTCTTGTTATAGTTGTGATAAATCCTCCGATGATCGGATGGTTGACTTCTGTTCTCAATAAAATCGCCTCTGAGTGAGACCGGCTTGAAAGAGACCAAGTGGTAAGGTGAGTTGAGATAAAGGTCATTCGACTTTTTACGGCTCGTGCAGTGGGAATTGGGATTGGAAGCAGCGTGAATATAATTGGATATAGAGTGTCTAGAGCGAGAAACCGTGAAACTGGAAACTTCCTTGGAAGACCTGGACCTGAGAGCGGCGGCGGCCATGAGTGAGTAATATGTATATCGGGAAATGAAAGGGAAGAGAAAGCAGCTAAATTTATTGGCTCATGGAGGACTGGAAGATGCAAACTGAATCAGGGGAGTAAGAAAATTGGAAGCTAATAGAGGTGGGGAAGTGAAAGATTTGGAATTGGCACGGGAAATAGGAAGAGGATTGAGGAGGATGAAGAACCAGAGGTAGTATTGTAGACGGCAGAACCTTACAGAATATTATGCAGCTGACTGAAATTGTGACTTGCGAGCCTTCAAGAATATCTAATTTGGAAGTTTCTGAGGAAAACGACGTCATTTTACTTGGAAAACCGGAGCATCCAGTTCATCAAAAATCACATTTGCCTGTAGGTTATTATTCATAAAAAAAAAAAAAAAAGCATATCAGGTAAAAAGTTCGTCAAATATACAAGTTATTTTTTCATGTTTAACTTTCACGGTCATGACCAAACTTCAAATCTCCAAACACTGTGATGAGTTAGCAGAGGTGGAGGTGGGACAGGAACAGGAATATATTGGGTAAATATTTCATTCAATCCATGCCATCGGTAATGCGCTAATCCTCCTTCATTTTGTTATCTTATTCAATACAAACATTAATTTGCTTCATATCGCTATGACGTAAAGGATAGCCAAAAATATGAAATCAAAGATTACACTACAAAGTCATAAACTGATACCCAATCCAAGTTTAGATACCAAAAGCAATATCCCCATGGATGAGAAACTGACTAACAATAAACCAACCATATGGTTGTCAGGACAAAGTAACAAAACCATATCAGTTCATTGCTGCTTTTTCTTCTCTTCTTCCTTCATCTTCTTCTCCCACCTGCGCTTCTTGTATTGAAGCAACATGTCTGGCATTTTCTCCATCAGCCTGGCAGTGTTTTCACGTTTTTCTGCAGCTATACGATCACATTTGTGGCCTTTCCTCTTGGTTCTCATTTCTTTCCTCTCTGGATCATATGCCCAATCCTGCCCTGCAAGAAGTACTTCCTTCCGAAGTCTGGCACGACGGCGTGCACTTATGCCAAGTGGCTTCCATGCCCCTAATTCCCAGTAACCCCAAACACCTTTGGATAGCTCATTCTTGTATTTCACCAACTTCTCCTGCCATGGATACTGATACTCACCGATGGCCTTCGCCACGGATTTGACAGCCTTGCCTGCCATTCTTGCTCGAAAATGTCTCTGCTTGTAAGAGACCAATTGAGTAATAAAATAACTTATTTATCCAGCGGAAGAATAACGGCATAGAGAAAGAAAAAAAAAGTAACTACAGTGGATAAATTTTGGTTGAAGAGAAAAAAAATTCTAATTTTCAACTGTTGGGCAAGAGTAGAGGCATCAACTTTCCAATAGTTAACCATTTCCATATGTACTAAAATTACGCAGCAGAGGCACAAGAGGGGCACCATAAACAGAGCTAGACAAAGGGAGCCGCTACTTAGACTAGATGATTTGGATTAGACAAATCCTAAATGTAGCCGAAAGTTTGAGAACTTGCAGAATTCAGATTGTTAATATTTTGAAGGACAGAAGACGGAAGCAGGAGAGCCATTTAGTTGATCGGTTCAGTTTTGAGGGGGGAAGCTAACTCAGTCAATGAACAGAACCTTCATTGGATCATTTTACAGATTAGTTTATTATCTGTTTGGCATGATTTGTAACGTGCTAGCTCTTGACACCCACATTAGGCCAATGAACAAAATTCAGATTAAAACCTACAAGATTTGAGTTATTTGGTGTTATTGTTATCTTGAATACTAGATAAGAAGCAAACATAATCAAAAGAACATACTCTACTAGCTTAACATACATAACCTTCAATGGCATCCATACTTATCCAACAAATAGCAATGGCAGATAGACTTGTCACTGCAAGTCCACATTTCAACAATATCCAATTACAAGCAACCCACGAAGGCAACGAAAAAATTTCCATGCTGAAAAATTATGTATCTTTTTTTCGGATTTAAGCAACCATTTCAGCAATAGACATGAAATCTGAGATTGAAAAAAGAATGATTCAACGATTGAGATGAGGCTGACTAGAAATTTGGAGAAGATAAATAAAGAGAAAACTAAAAGAGGAAGAGAAAACAAACTTACCCTTGTGGCTGCGTGCGAGAGAGAAAAGGGAACGAGAGGTGCGGTGGCTTGGAAAATGAAAGTTTAGATGGTGGGATATGGGAAGTGCGCTGGGCCAAGCTGGTGCACATAAACCCTAGCCCCATTTTTTTGCTTAATTAATATTGAACTCAACCCCTCCTAAATCTTCTCCATTCCCAAACTAATTCAAATTTTCGATTGGTGAAAAATTCAACTCAATTCAAATAAAAAGCAAAGCCATGATATTTATTGACTCCGTGAGTAAATCCATTGCGCACGACTTAATTACTTGAGCACTTGAAGTTAGATTTGCAGCTTTACTTCAACTTCACTTACGAACTACTCTATGCAGTCCAGTGGATACTATCACAATGGTGTGTGAACCATAGAATTTCCCCTTAAACATTTTTATGCCATAAGAATTCAACACAAAATCGAGGTTTTTTTAATCGAAAAAGGACGAATAAGAAGAAATTATCAACACAACATTCAATGTTCACACTACTTAGATTAAATCATAAACGCTAAAAGATCCTCATCAACAGAGAAGAACGGGGAATGACTATGAAATGAAAAAATAGCTACTTCTTGAAACTGAAACCAGTAATAGGAAATTTATAGATTGAGGAATCACATTCAACAATAGGGCAGCATCCATATCAACGACAACAGATGAATGGAGGAAGGGGGCCGTATCAAGGGGGGAAGGGAGAACTGAAATCATACCGGGGAGGATGATGGGAGGACACTGCAGTGGAGCTCCGATGCAACAGAGATGGAAGTGGGCGGATTACAAGCTTGAGAGTGGAGGGCGTGTGGGTATCCGCGGAGAGCCGAGAATAAGCGCGCAATAAAAACGAAAACGAGCTATTGTACACACGAACAGATCTGTCAAAATGACCTAACTACGCATACATTTTCATTTTTACCCTTCAAATTATTGAAAATTAACGCGACAAAATACGACATTAATATTATTTTTATTCATATAAATTTCAATTTAAAAGTTGTTGAAATCATTTACAACATAACTTTTAAAATAGTTTATGTAAATAATTTTAATGGAAAAAAGACGGTTAAAATATTTTTTTGGAACACTTTTAAATTTCAATAAAAACTTTCAAAATATGTGAAAATAAAATTTAAGGTTTAATGGTAACATATTTGTATTCATGAATAGTTCGCAATTTTAAATTAAATTTCGATCGATAAGTCATATACTCTCAACTAAGCCAAGGTCGAGGTAGACACATAGAAGGCATCGTCAAGATTAATATGGGTTTAATGAACTCATCTTGATAAATAGCCATTAAACAAAGGACATGGAGAGCATGGAGGATGAAAGAAATGGCAGCATCACAGAACAGTTCAAAGGAAGCTTGATACAGGAGGCATGGTCTTACAGAACCACAATCTATCTTACACCTCAAAATTGGCATTGCAAAATACTCCCATTTCCTTCCTACACCCCCTCTTGAAAAGGGCATCACCTTTTCCAACACTGATGCATATCAGACAGTAAACCAAAATGCATCCACCGACACGTTTGGCTCCCCTTTGATCGTCGTTGGCCGATCCCTCTCTGCCCAGCATCACCGTCCAGCCGATCTCCCCATTGCAACTGGAGTTTGTTGCTGCCATTGTATAAGAAATGACATGATTTTACGATCAATCTACAAAAGGAGAAAACTGAAGAATACATGACAGCCGTGTTTACTGATGAGTACCCACATAGGGCTTGTAAAGGCATTGGGATCAAAAGCCTGACTTTGTAAAATACCATGTTTACTAATGTCTTATATCATAACTTTATTATAGGATATCATTCAAGGCAAAGACAGTTTGAATAGAAGAGTTTATATCAGAAGACAGAAGCTAGATTGTTGCAATAGTCCATGTTTGTAAGGTTGGTTCGTAGCTTACCCGAGCGGCTGTTTCAGCTAGGAACTGCACAAACTCCACCCTCTTTCTTTCAAAATTGAGCCTCGTGCTGTCTAGCAACGCTTGTTCTCTCCTCATATCTTCAAGAATTTTTTCTTTTTTCCATTTCATTTCTTTCATCTGTCTCTCAGATTCTGTGTAATGGTCAGGCAGGCTTGAATTTGTTGAGGTCTTGGAAAACCTCACCTTCACATCATCCCTAACACCATTGGCAGGCAAAAAAGAAAAATATTTATAAATGGAGAAACCCCAAGTGTTGGGACAATGACCGTGGTAGAGATTTTAATCCATAATCGAGCAATCATTGAAGTTGCCAAGAAGAGCTTCATACCTATTGCCGAGACAGAACAGTCCACTCCTTTTAATAATCCCGCCATCCAAAGAAAGCGCTCCGTCGGTTATACAAGGAACAGCTTGCAACATTTCTGTCCTAGTTTTATAGATTTGCAGACAAGAAAATAGAGAATAAAACAGAGTCTCTCTAAGACCATATCCACTTGCTGTGAGAAAAAACAAGTATGTTCTGTCTATGTTGATCATATTAACAGCATAACCAATAAAACCGGCTGGACAGTCCCCATTAGGCAATCTTGGGTTGGGAATATCAAGCCTTTTCTGCGGATCGTTGGCCACAAAGTCACCAGCATATGGTCTACAGGAAAAAGGAACAGAAGAGCGTGTTGAGTTCTAAATATTTATGTGGTAAAGTCAGGAATGTCCAAACAACCACACCATGTCAGAAACGAATGAATACCTCAATGTTTCAAGAGATATGACATTGAATCGTCCCTCTAAAGTTTTCCCAAGCGAAGTGCCAAATCCGTGAAGCCCGGATGTTTTATTTATGCATCCTTCCTTGTCATACTTTTCTAGAGATTTGACTCCATTATATGTCTTGCAGACAATAGCTAACATGGTCTCTGTTCCTAGGTACTCTGATAAAAGGCTGGACTCCAAACCAGAAACAGAAAATGAGAGTATAAGTGAAAAACATGCAGATGAATGTATAGAATGGTCATGTTCTTTGTTCACTATCTTCAAATTACAGTTCTTCTCCTAAAGATCACTAAAATGAGTAAAACCCAGTAGCCATCTCTCGCTACTAATCTACTAATCTATTGCTAAAAACAAACTAAAATCATATGCTATCAAACAACTTCACTTTAAGCTCAAATTCAACTGCAGCCCATGTGGTTTGTGCTTAGTGTCAATTATGTAGCATGGTAAAATTCCACATCGGTTGGGGAGGAGAACTAAGGGTGTGAAAACCTCTCCCTAGCATACGCGTTTTAAAGACCTTCAGGGGAAGCCCGTAAGGGAAAACCCAAAGAGGACAATATCTGCTAGTAGTGTGCTTGGGCCGTTACAAGCATGCTTAATTCCTTTGGACGTGATATACCCTACACTGAAATATATTAGAGCTCGTAGTCTCACTACCACGTCCAAAAGCACATGTCAAATATTGTAATTTCTAGTAATGCTGGACGTTTTGAAGGATTTAACCAAGATAATGGACAAATAATTGATACTTCTAAGACCTTTCAAATGAAAACCATATAGACTAAAATGGTAACCTAACCTAAAATGAATTAGCCAGTGTTCTCAAATCTCATATTTGGCTCTATCATCAAGCACCCTAAATGATCCCATCCCCAAGGCTCATGCCACTGTCATTGACATTCACTTCCAGAGAAAAAGAAATTATGCACATCAGAGCAAATTAACATGAGACTATAAGATAACTAGCAAGGTGAGAGATGCAAAGGCAATTGGAAGCAAAAGAGACCTGCTAAGGACACTGTCATCTACTTTTCCTAGTTCAGCAACAACACCTAGCACATCATCAGAAAGTGTAGGGTCTGAAGCCAGCATCTTGGGATTAGTTTTGAGCTGGCACAAGATGCTGGCAGCACTGTTTTCCTCCTGCAGAATCTGTTTCTGATCTGATAGCTTATCTTCACTTTGGGTATCAGCACCATCCTGGGTCTCAATCTTAGGCGTACTCGAAGCATGGTACTTTCCTAGGGTAACTGAAACAGAAACTCGTGTAAGCGTTTGGAAAAGACATCATTGTGTTGAATCCATGTGTTGAGGAAGAAAAAAGAAAATACCTTGCAGATCAATGATGGAATCAACTAATTTGTCTTTCAGAGTCCTTAGAAATCTTATGTTGTCCTCATGCAGCTGGAGCTTCGTCCCCAGCGTTTGCAGATCATCTTGAAGTTTCTGCATGAAGCAAATGAACATACATACATGCAAACAAACTTCGTTACCTTTGTCACTAAGCTTAGAATCCAATAAACGCGAGAGAATAAATAAGCAAAGAAAGAAACTTGTGGGACCTTGGAACGAAGGTTGGTTGGATCTTCATGGGAAAGCCCTCCCTCTTGCATTTCATCCTTTGGTACTCTACACTTATCAATTTCATCCAGTTTCATCAGAACAGAAGCTTTCTGGAAACACAATAGAATAGAGTCTGGTTTCAGCAAATCTAGAAAGTTTCCATACGAACAGAAGGAGTATAGATCCAGAGCCCTTTAATTGAGTGAAAGAGAAAGAGGAACCTGAGTGGGGCTTGTGGCGCCACCTCCGAATCCGGAACCTGGTCTCAAATCCAACACCGAACGAGAATGGAACTGAAAACCCACATTTCAAATTAGCAAAAACACCCACTTCTTCACTCATCTCATCATTTCCCTCCCTGGCCTCGGGTTTGGTGAAATAAATTAATCCCAAAATCTGATCATATTTTTTTCTCCTTTTCCTTGATAAAAGATAATTAGAAAGCGACCACAGGAACTTCGAGGGAACAGAAACAAAGATTTGAACCAAACAAAGTTGTATAAATAGATTCGGTAAAGCTGAATATTAATTACATATACCACCACCCCTACAACATAATCAGTACATAAAACTAATTTTAGGAATTTAGGAATCAAAATCACAAATGGGTTCATATTGAATCCCATTTATGTGGTTTTCCGAACAAAATAAGCCTATCAGGTTAGAAAACTCAGGCCCAACACAAAATCAGCCCAAATCGAGTGGACCTTTTTCCTCCGTTAGCTAATATATAAATAAAATATTATAAAAGTAGCAATTAAAATATATTACAAATACAAAATAATAATAATAATCCATTAATATAAAATAATTGATGGGGCAACTTAATAATTATCTCATTAAGTAGAAGGGAAATATATATATATATATACACATAGATGTTTCTCTTTTTTTCTTTTTTTTTTTTTTGGAAAAGATGGAGGGGTATGCATGATATATAGGGCTCCACGATAAAGGAAGTAAGATGGTGTGACAAATAATGAATGGAGTTCACAGCTCAAAGATGGAGATGGGACTGTTTTGTTTGATGGAATGGAACCATACATTATCATTTTCTTATTCTTGGTGGTTCGAGAGAAGTGGACAGCACTTTTAAATTTGTTAAAAATTCATTTTTATTATGTAAAAACTACGCTTACAATTCAAAATTAAATTGATTGGAAGAATAATAAAATCAAAATTATTAAATTTTGTAATAACAATAAAAAAGGATTTAATTCACATAAGGAAAAGACATCTCTCCTTAATGCGAAAGAGAATTCCAACTGACAATTAGGTGATGGGTTAAGGCTTCATCTTTTTCTTCCTCTTCTTTGCTTGTAACATAAATAATGTTTTTTGTCTCTTAAATTAGTGCTATTTAAAAAAATAGTAATGATAATTCATTTGCCACAGTGGACTTAAAAGTGGAATATTGAAAATAAGTATGCATGTCTTCATTAAATTAAAATTTAGCAGAACAAAATATATGGGTTTGGGTCAAACCATTCATTAGTTGTATTAATTTGGTTTATAAATTCATCCCATTTTATCGAAACAAACAAACAAGCCCTTTCTAACTTGTATTTTGCACCAAATTTGTGCAAGTGCGACACAATCATCCCAATTCCGCTTCCCTTCTTGTAAGAAAATGGAGTTATTTGGATTAATTATTGAAGGAGATGGTGATTACGTTTAAGTATGTGATTGATATGGTAGCGATGTTTCTCGAAAATTTAATTGGTGTGTATGTATGTTTGACATTAAATGTGTCCACCAACTGAAAGTGGAAAAGCATCGTCTGGTTCACGTATGAGAAGAAGCCTCCAACTGTTGTTTGCGTATTAATACCTCTTCCTCCTCGTGATTCCCTTTAACATTAACGGCAACTTCCCTTCCTCACCTTACCTTACCTTACCTCTCTCTGCCTTCCTTTATCACACCCTCCTCAGCTACCACTTCTTCTTCTTCTTCTTCTTTATTTTTCCATTCTTCAATTCCAAACACTCCAATGCCCCTAATCCCCGGCTCTCCTTAATCAAGGTTGGTCATCATCCCTTTAAATCTCTTGTTCATTTCCGTCTTTTCTTGTTTTATGAATGCTTCTCTGTCTTGGGATGTTTGTTTGAAGTGGTGTGATCTGGTTTGGTGGGTGGAGAGATGGGGAAGAAAGGAACTGGCTGGTTCTCCACTGTCAAGAAAGTCTTCAAATCTACTCCTTCCAAGGACTACTCGCCTGCCCTCGACAACAAGGTATCAATTCATAATTGTCTCCATTCAAGATTATGTGTTTCTCTGGGTGTCTGCTTCCTTTTATTACATTCAATCTCTTCATTAATACATCAAACTCTACCCGACCCTTTTCCACTTAATGTTTCAAATGCCTCGAAATAAGGTTTTCGTATTCGAGTTTGGATGGTGAAGTCTCGTACACGTAACCGCAAGAGCAAAATTAGTGTTTTTCTACTGAACACATGTTGGGGGTCTTGGTTTGTGCTTTTCTTTTGCTTGAAGAAAAAGAGGCAATAACTTTAGTTTTGATTGTCGATGAAGAAAAGCTTTTTGAATAGAGGGGAATAGTGTCATAGAGAATATTGATTTTAAATTTACAGCCATGCATGAATGAGAAAGGAGAGGGAAGAAAAAGAAAGGTGCTGTGTGTGTGTGTGTGTGTTGTGTGTTTTTGGTCCCCCATGGGTGGAAGGACCAAAAATAATAGTGAATTGTAAAGCCTTGTTCTAAGCCTTATCTATCACCATCATTTATGTTCAACCATCATGTGCATGTTGCTGCAACATCTCCATCATCTTCCAAACCCATTTTCTGTCTTTTCTTTCAACCAACTAATTAATTCTTAATTCATATTAATTACTCCCAACATCTCTCTTAATTTTGCAGAAGCAAACTGTGAATGTGGAAAAATGGCAGCCCAATTCTCCAGAGGTTATATCATTTCAACAATTTCCCACACAGATCTCTACAGAAATAACCAACGACCAGAGCGCTCAATCAACACCCAGGATCGATGGTCGAGATCATGCCATTGCTGTTGCAGCAGCTACTGCGGCGGCTGCAGAAGCTGCAGTTGCAGCAGCCCAGGCTGCTGCAAAAGTTGTTCGCTTGGCTGGCTATGGGTGGCAATCTACAGAAGACAGAGCAGCAACTCTTATTCAAGCTTATTACAGAGGCTACTTGGTCAGTGTGATGGACTTTTTTTTAATTCTAACCGTGTTAGATTCGGCTATAATTTAACTGGTTAAGACATTATATTTTAGGCTCGACGAGCACTCCGTGCCTTAAAGGGGCTAGTGAGGCTACAAGCATTAGTTCGAGGTCACAATGTACGAAAGCAAGCACAAATGACTATGCGTTGCATGCAAGCATTGGTGCGGGTGCAGGCAAGAGTACGCGCCCGCAGGTTGCAATTGGCAAACCAAAGTTATCATAAAAGATTTGCAGAAGAAGAAGACGAAGATGAAGAAGATGAAGAAGAAAAATTGTTGAAAAACAGAGTAAAGAAATACGAGATGGAAGGTTGGGATGGTAGGGTTCTAAGTGTAGAGAAGATCAAAGAAGATTGTTCAAGAAAACGTGATGCTCTAATGAGAAGGGAAAGAGCTCTTGCTTATGCTTACTCCTATCAGGTTTGCCCTAAACATTGCCTTTTTCATTTTGATATCGTAACTTTGGCTATGTTCATTGTTAATATCATAACGCTTCTTTGTGTATAGCAACAACCTAAACGAAGACAAGAGGATGGAATTTTAGAATTGAGTGAAGATGTGAATGATTTAGGGTTTGGGCGTGATAAGACGCAATATGGTTGGAATTGGCTTGAGCATTGGATGTCCTCTCAACCATGTAGCGTTCGGCATTCCACTCCACGTGAGCCTTATATTACACCCACCACCACCACCACCACAGTCACAGACGACATGTCGGAGAAGACCGTCGAAATGGACCCCATTGCATTAGCCCAACTACATTTGGAGTCCACCGAGTCGGGACAAGTAAGCTCACACTCATCCCGACAATCGGTTTTTAAGAACGTCCCAAGCTACATGGCCCCGACTCAATCCGCTAAGGCGAAGGTGAGAAGGCAAGGACCAAAATGGAATAAAACTACGAGAAGAGGATCAACTTTTGGGTCGGGTTATGAGTCGTCGAGTTCGGGTGGAGGAACGATGGCGTATCAAGGCCTAAGGAGCCCAAGCCCATTGAACAATGGGACTCGGTTGTCTCCTATACAGATGATGGGCTGTGGTCCAGACCACCCAGGAGGTGAAGATTGGGCAGTGCCGCCCCTTGGTGTCAATAATTGGAGGGCTGGTTTTGGTTGATTCAGTTATGGAACAGTCGTGTGGGGGTTAATAAGTGAATATCAAACTTTAATTACTATTTATTAATTTTTATCTTTGAATTTAATAATATAACGCCCCGAGTATTCTGTATTTCACCTTTCCTTGCACTTTCCACTTGAATCTGCCACGTGTCATATCGAAGCTATTTTCCAAATTACTTGAGGATAGAAATAATGTAGGTAGAAAATCTCGGACTATTGAGGAAATAATTAAAAGAAGATGAGAGTTTTGGACGTGTTATACTGGGCCAGGAGCTCGGCAAAGGCATGTTGGTGGGTCCAATCCTCAACCCACATGGTGATGGCCCGACATGGTGTCGCTGAGCTGTAATGGGATACGGTCCGATGTTCAGTCCGACATGTAGTTTCGATACCAACAAAATTTAACTACTCCCCCTCTCTAATCATCTCACATATATCAAGATATTAATACAACAGTTTAAGTTAATAATATTTTCGGAGTTGAGTAAATTGGCATAGAGCTCTATGAGTCGAGAATGAAATAAAACGACAATAATTAGCCTAAAAATTAAACTAAAAAATTTGTTTGGAATATTTTTGAACACACCATTTAGTGCAAAGATATATATATAAAAGCAAATCATAAATGTGGGTATACTTGGTGTAAGATGTAAGTTGGTTGAGAAGTGAGAAGTTGGGATGTGGTGGATAAGTATTTTGAGGCCAATTTTATCATTATTATTCTGGGCCAATAATGAGTGAGACCATTCCATTACAACTTGCTAGTGTGAGTGCGATTTGATGGGTTGGTTGAGTGGCTTCAAAATCTGTCATAAATTAAATTTATAGCCTCACTTGTCAGTACTCGGTGGGATGAAAAATAAGTAACTAAATGGATAATAAAGTTTGAAGAGAAATTTGAATGCAACAAAATCTAACGTAATACAAGATGAAAAAACCAAAGCGTTTTTTTTTTTTAAAAAAACAAAATTAAGCTTAGATTAGAAGCAGAATGGCAGTACATGGCAGTTCAAGTGGGTCACATGAACGACCCAATAATTTACTCTTCAATGTACGCTCTCAACTTCATAAGAATCTGTGACCCAATTATAATTTCGTTCCCCGCTTGCCCCTCCATTTCTCATCTCTGAGAAACTCGTGAGGGTTGCTTTGAAAGCAATCAAATATCGAATCCATTTCAAATCCCACATCGCCCACTTCGGATTCCGAGGGCCGATCTTCAAACTTTAGGATTATAAAATGCTGGTGGTAACTGGGTTTCTTGGGGAGGTTTCCTATTAAATTTTAGTTATGATTATATCCAATTCTGTGCTCTTTCTTATGCTGGTTTAGTTTCTGCTTTACAGGTCGAACCCAAGGAGGAAACTCGAGCAGTCAATTCTCGTGGACCCACGAAGGGGTTGTTGACTGAGTTGCTCCATCATTTTGTCTATGAATTGAAAGTGATTCAATTCATTGCTTCTATATGGGTAGTACTATGCACAAGAAGGTGCTCCACGCTGCCTTTACTTTGCCTGAACCTCTGAAAGGTATTTGACATCATTTCTCTTCTCTTTGGTTTGGGTTCTTTTTGGTTGCTGATTGCATTCATCGCTGCTACTGTGCATTGCCCCAGCAACCCTTTTGTTTTCCGTTTCAAAAGGTATGAAGTAAAAGACATAATCACCTTGTGAGAACTGAAAGTTACTTGCAGATGCAACCCTTTTGAAATACTTCTCATTATGCCTTCAAAAGGTTGCATTTTCTCTTCACTTTATATGCAGTTATCACTGATACCCAGAACCTTGTGTTTGCTTTATCAAGCAAGTGGGGTTGCTTGCAGTCTGTCTTTTCCCTGAAAACCAGGGACTATTCTCTTTTATTCGTCTTATAACTATTGTATTTTGTTGTAGTTTGGCCTCTACATGACTGTTCTTCAGACTCAGGCACATGTAAAAGCAGCCATGCTCTTGAGCTTTCTAACATTGAACTCATAATCTGACTGCTCTTTGTTCAATCACCTGAAAGACTTGTTTCAGACTCTCAGTCCTTTCTCTTATGTATATATGGGATGCTTTGTGAAGTTAAAAACTAACCTTTATTTCTCTTGTAATAGTGTATTCGAATGAGAAGAAGCATAGTCTTAGATGATGGATAAGAAAGAGGTCTCCAATTCACTAGCATTCATCTCGGACGACAAAATTGACAGTTTATCGCCTATGTATTTCGGTGTTTCGTGCGCATTCTTTGCGCTTCGACTCTTGGCAACCTCTGATTGCAAAGATGAAAAATGGTCTGAAGTTCGGGAAAAGATGCTTCAAGGGAGCGCCCAACTCTTGGGATTGCTATTATGGAGCGCTCAGAGAGAGGTGGATGCTAGGCAAAAGCCTAATCTTGTTTATAAGCTAGAGGCTGCTGAGAGGGAGATAGGAGAGTTGAAAAGAATCAGACATGAAGACGCCAAAGCTAATGAAAAAGTTGTTTGCATTTTTGCTGCTCAGGAGCAACGGTGGTTGATTGAAAGGAAGACGCTTCGCCAACACATTGGAGCTCTAATGGATGATGCAAGGCTTCTCGAAAAGAAGGAAGTTGTTATTTCTACACTGAATGAAAAGTTGAAGGAGATGGAGATGTCATTGGAGTCCAAGGAAAAGAAATTGGAGGAAGAGATTAAAAGGGGAGCTGACTTGGAAGAAAGACTGTCCAAGGCTGAAAGTGTGGTAGAAGAATTGAGAGAAACTGCTAAACGTGAGGCCCAAGAGCATTCCTCTGAGCTCTGGAAGCACAAAACAGCCTTCATTGAGCTGGTCTCAAACCAAAGGCAGCTTGAAGCTGAGATGGGGCGAGCAGTTAGGCAAGTTGAGGCATCAAAAGAAGAGATTGATTCAATTTTAGAGCAAAAGGAGGAGTCCGTAATGCTGGTACAGAAACTATCGGGTGAGATTGTTAAGATGCGGAAGGATTTAGAACAGAAAGACAAGATGTTATCAGCAATGCTGAGAAAATCGAAGATGGATGTAGCACAGAAGGCAATGCTCCTTAAGGAGGTTAAGCTATCCAAAGCTAGGAGGAAGCAAGCAGAATTAGAAGCTGGAAGGTGGAAGACAATTTCAGAATCAAGACATGAAAGACAGTCATTGAGAAGTATGTTATCCAATCAGGTCAATCCAGGATATGAAGTTCCTACAAGTGCTGGGGAAAAGCATTCAAACACAAACAATGGGAAGACCATATCTACTAAGCCAAATGATACTGATATCGATTACTATCATCCAGAATCCATTGACTCAAATAATTTCCCTTTCCTTGCTGAATGTCTTTCCCCTGAAAGAAATAATGATGACTCAGGTAACAAACTTAAGTTCCTATGTTTAACTAAACGTTGTATACTTGAAGCTCTCTCTGAGTGGATGAATTTATTTGTTCCTTTTGGGGCTCATCTATGGATTTTATCTCTGAAGGGAGAATGATTGATGTGAAGCAGATGGAAGAGTTGGTATGCTCCGAGGCAGAGAAGTATGTACTAATACTTCAGCAGAGACATGACCTGGAAATAGATGCATTTGCAGAGCAAATGGGGGTGAAAGATGAAAAATTAGAAGTTTTTCACTGGCAGATGCTCAACCTGGAGCTTGAGTCAAAACGGCTTCAGTCACATCTTGCTGCTCAGAATCAAGAGATCTTGCAGCTTAGACATGCGAATATGAAACTAAAAGCTCTGTCAATGGAGAGAGAAAAGGAACTAGCTTCCTTGAAAGCCCAATTGGCGGCACAGTTTAGGCCTCAAGAGTACCAGCCTACGAAGTGGGATTTTCCAGATGAAAACAGTGGCACCTGGTCTGATGTCAAGATTATAAAGATCAAACCAGGAGAAGAAGAGCAGCAGAGAAATAAGGAATGTAATGGAACAATAAGGGAGGCAGCTTGTTTGAACGTTGTTGAGGACAGAAATCCATTGATACAATCTCCAGGTACGGAATTTGAAGATGAAAAAGAAATTGGTTGTCACAGTCCTATTCAAGAAGCAAGCACAAGCAGTCCACAGGAGGTTGATAATGCCGAACCGTTGGCATCAATAGGGCAGCAGTTTGGAAGAACTTATAATAGTACTCAATGGAGGATGGATATTCATGCTCTAGGAGTGTCTTACAAAATCAAAAGGCTGAAACAGCAGTTTCTTTTGCTGGAGAGGCTCATCGGAAAACAGGAAACTGCTCGGAATTCCGAAAATGAGGAGAATGGAGAAGTTGGGATTAGAGATTTTCTTACGTTTCTGACACTTCTGAATAAACAAGTGGGCAGATACAATTCTCTGCAGGAGAAGACTGATGAACTCTGCCAAAGGATGGTAAGTTCATATTCATTCTCCCTTTTGTAGTTTGTACAGATTTACCTTGTCTTCAATGATGTTTTTGGTCATTGTGGTTTGCAGCATGATTATGAGGCGAGTGTAAAATGTGGAGAGTTCAAAGTTGTGAGAACGAAAGGGAAATCCAAGGCGCTGGAGAACTTCCTTGAACAGACATTTCAGCTACAAAGATATGTTGTGTTAACGGGACAGAAATGGATGGAAATTCAGGTGAAGATCAGCGTGGAATTCGGGAAGGTTGCTGAGGAACTACATCAAGAGTCGGGTAGCTTTGACATTAAACGCTTTGCCAGTTCTGTCAAAACTCTGTTCCAAGAAGTGCAAAGAGGTCTAGAAGTCCGAATAACTCGAATTATCGGAGATCTAGAAGGAACCTTGGCGTGCGAGGGTATGAATCGTCTAAGTAGATAGTCGTGAAACTGCTTCTTGTTCTTACTCAATAAGATTGCATACCCATGTATGATTCTGTGTGTTCTTTCTCTTCACTTGTATACACAGATTACTAAGAATGTAATGAATTGATATACACTGATTCAAGAGAAACAGAAAGACCACAGCGGAGAGTGAGTTTTGAAGATCAAACCGATCCAACAACTTTTCAGACGACTTGGCGTCCTCATCCATGAACAAGAAATGATCCAACAAAGCAAATCACATGAGCCACTGAACCATTTGGCATGCAAAAAAGTCACAGAAAAATCAGTATTTTATGTACGCATCAAAAAGCCGATCTTTTCTCAACCGTTTTCGCAGATCAGGAAAAATGAGTACGACTTTGAAACACACCCAATTCACAGAAATGTCCGTTGATGGTTTTCAAAAATCCATCAAAATCAAAGACCCGAAATTTTCAAATCGTGGGACCTCAAACATAATTAAACGTAAGATTGAGATTCGGCGCATTTACAGTTTAATGTACACAAACAAAACTTGTGGCATTTTCTCGTGAAGACGAAGCGCCAGGAGCGTTTTGCAGTTACCCTCACAATTCGCATCCTCATAAACTAACTCTGCCTCCACTTCTTTCGCTCTCTAAAACCCCCCTCTTTCTCTCTCTCTCTCTCTCTCTCTATAAAAATTCTCCCAATTCTACAGTAACTGATCATCCACTTCAACAGGGCCTTGTTGTATTCGTTCAAAATCAAATGGGTCCGTGAAATTTTGACGGAATGAGGCTTGCAAAAGGGGAAAATCCGAGCTCGACGCCACCAAAGCTGTCTCTGTTTTCTCTTCCAAGACAGCCGCCGGAGCCACCGGGGCTGGTGACGCCTCCGCTGCACGCGTCAATTTCTGTGCCGTTTCAATGGGAGGAGGCGCCAGGGAAACCAAGACCATTCGGAATGATCGAACCGAACTCAAAGCCCAGAAGTGCAAGATCCCTGGATCTGCCTCCGAGGCTGTTCACTGACACCAAAGTGGCTCATTTTTCCTCTCCAACGACCGCCGTGGACGACCCCGTCGTCGGCCAAGACCTGTCTTCCAATTTGTCGTTCAGGTTCCCCGACACGTGGGCGGAAACTGCAACAAGGGAGGGCAAGCATGGTAAATATGTCGGGTCTAGGCGGTGGATGAGCTTCAGGAAGAATAAGGAGGTCCCGAAGGGCGCGTCAGAAATACCGCGTTCGGCCGGCGGTGACAAAAGCGGTGGGCGTAATGCTGGGAGTGGCGACGGCGAAACGAGGGTGAAGATCACAAGGTTTAGGAGTAGAAGAAGCCTTTTTAGAAAATCGGATTCAAAGTCGCAGTTGATCGTAAGTGTCCTACATCAATTTTATTGGGTTCGTTAATGTTTAGAAACATTTATGAAATCAAAATTTAAAAGTTGTTCATTTAACTGGATCCAAATCACGGCAGGCAAGTATCTATGGGAGCTTGAAGCAAGTGATTCCATGGAGACGCAAGCCGGATGAAACCAGAGGAGTATCGCAATGATCATACGAATCCAGACATAACCCATAATATTAGTGAAATATCTAAATATGATGTCATAAATTTTCAACTATTTTTTTTTCTTCTAAAGAATCTTACTTATATACATTAAAATTACTATAATTACTACTTGTCTTTCGCATGTTTGGCTGTAAATATCCTTGTTTAACATAATTATAGAGCACTTTTTTTCTTTTTTTTTTTTGCTAAGGAATGTATGTCTCTCTGTAGATATAAAAATGTATTTTTTTTACATATGTTTTGGAAATCTCATTTTCTATAAACTAGGATCACTTTTATCTCGTAAATGGGGTTGGGCCTCCAAAGCCCACGTTGAGTGTTAGCTAGAGCCATCGATCAATCCCGGCCCATATTTTGCGGGACCCATTATGAGCTCTCATTTCCAGTTGCGGGGATGCTGGGCCCACCCATTACCCAACAATCCGGCGCCGATTTGAAAGCATTTTAAGAAGTTCCATAAATAATAAGAAGGATAAATAATAAGATCCGCTGCTTCGAAATATTCCATGAAACATATCTCAGCGACCGGTGATCATTTTTCCTTGCAAAATCCAGACCGTTGATTTTGGGTAACGGGTACGATTTGATTAGACGATCCGACGTCGTAGTGTTATTGGGTAGGGTTGGAAAGTTGTGGGGTTCATTTGCCGCTTATATTGAGAGGAAAGTGTGATATTCCGACCTACCCATCCCACTAATTTCTCTCTCTCTCTTTGTTTTACTTTACTTTTATTATTATTATTTGTTAAAGGGACATAACAAAAACCAAAAGGAATCAAATAAACTTGAATTCAAAATGTGCAGCAGTAACAAATTTGGCACAAAGACGAACAATAGATAACAAAATAAAATGAATAAATTAGAGAGATAAAAGTGGTATTTGGAGAAGTTTATGGGTTAAATTAAATATATATTTATTTTGAGACTGACAAGGGACCCACAATGCAACGCAGGCGCCATTATTTTATTTTATTTTATTGGTTCACTAATTAATGCAATAAATCCAACGCTAATATCATATAAACTATGGCCGCTTCCCAAGACGAGTGGAGCAATATAAAGGCTACTTCAATAATTCTTAATAATGGTAAATCAATCACCTTTGAAACATCAAAAATTACAAAATCATTCTGGAAGTCATTTAATAATTACAAGGGTGTGATGTTACAAAGCCCCACAATGAATCAAGTGAGATTTGGTATCAAAGAAACGTTTAAGTTGAAGGACGGAGGGGTTTTGGGACCCATCGTTCCAAACACTCGCACACAAAAGTGTGGCAACAATGATGGGGACTAGGGAGAGAGAGAGAGAAGAGACGAGACGACTTTTGAGCTTATGATTTTCTCTCTTCAAAACCCAAAACTACAAACCTCCTGATTTTCTGGCTTAACCGACGTGGTGGCCTACTTGATGTTTTCATCCAACTGCGAGTACCCTCTTTCTTTCCCTCATTTTGCCCTTCAACATCAACTCCTTGCTGCCTTCAAACATTTTTACTAGTTCAGTCAAAATCAACTCCTTTCTTTCCCTCATTTTGCCCTTCAACATCAACTCCTTGCTGCCTTCAAACATTTTTACTAGTTCAGTCAAAATCAACTCCTTTCTTTCCCTCATTTTGCCCTTCAACATCAACTCCTTGCTGCCTTCAAACATTTTTACTAGTTCAGTCAAAATCAACTCCTTTCTTTCCCTCATTTTGCCCTTCAACATCAACTCCTTGCTGCCTTCAAACATTTTTACTAGTTCAGTCAAAATCAACTCCTTTCTTTCCCTCATTTTGCCCTTCAACATCAACTCCTTGCTGCCTTCAAACATTTTTACTAGTTCAGTCAAAATCAACTCCTTTCTTTCCCTCATTTTGCCCTTCAACATCAACTCCTTGCTGCCTTCAAACATTTTTACTAGTTCAGTCAAAATCAACTCCTTTCTTTCCCTCATTTTGCCCTTCAACATCAACTCCTTGCTGCCTTCAAACATTTTTACTAGTTCAGTCAAAATCAACTCCTTTCTTTCCCTCATTTTGCCCTTCAACATCAACTCCTTGCTGCCTTCAAACATTTTTACTAGTTCAGTCAAAATCAACTCCTTTCTTTCCCTCATTTTGCCCTTCAACATCAACTCCTTGCTGCCTTCAAACATTTTTACTAGTTCAGTCAAAATCAACTCCTTTCTTTCCCTCATTTTGCCCTTCAACATCAACTCCTTGCTGCCTTCAAACATTTTTACTAGTTCAGTCAAAATCAACTCCTTTCTTTCCCTCATTTTGCCCTTCAACATCAACTCCTTGCTGCCTTCAAACATTTTTACTAGTTCAGTCAAAATCAACTCCTTTCTTTCCCTCATTTTGCCCTTCAACATCAACTCCTTGCTGCCTTCAAACATTTTTACTAGTTCAGTCAAAATCAACTCCTTTCTTTCCCTCATTTTGCCCTTCAACATCAACTCCTTGCTGCCTTCAAACATTTTTACTAGTTCAGTCAAAATCAACTCCTTTCTTTCCCTCATTTTGCCCTTCAACATCAATTCCTGTTTTCTCTAGTTCAGTCAAAATCTTTTACCCAACCCACTTGGTTTTATGCCAACTTTTGGCTTCTTTTGGTTCTGCTCACCGTGCTTTCACATTTTGAGGCTGAGAAATCAGATGGGGTTTCGGCTACTCTCCCGTTTCTAGTTTCGACCTCTTCAGCTCCAGAAAAACAGGTACAGCTAGAGCTATTTCCTTCCACTTTCTTTCTCTCTTTTTCCTCTATGTTATATGGGGTTTTGATCTTCTGGAAGTCTTAAACGTCTATATTGCAAGCGTTTCTCTGCAATTACTTAGAAGGGTGTTGAAAATTTTGTAGCTTTTTCGACGGTTGTTGAGGAGGAGTGTGTGGACATCCGCTTTAAGTTTTAATTGTTCAGTACAGGTTGAGTCCTGGCGAAGATTCAGACAGAACGAGCTTGAATTATGGCGAAGCACTACTTGTTTTATTTGGTTGATTGTTTCGAATTTGATATATGTTTAATCTATGAGACAGCGAGTCAACTATCCTTTAATTTATTGAATTGAGGATTCTCATTACCTGTAACCTGTCAAAGGGAATGCTGTCCCTCACCTGCTAAATAAATACTTCTCTTGTCTCTTCTACTTTTCCTTCTGGGCTATATTGAAACACTTTTGAGGATTTTAAGGTTTCCAAAGTTAGTTTTGAAATTCATGAATGCTTTCACTGCAAGTGGGAATGTTGCCCGATCCAATGATTTCCTTCGATTTCTGAATTTTTGAAATCTGATGGTTGCAGGTCTAGTAGTTTGAGCTCAACATTTTCTGGGACAGAAACAAAATCTTGTACAATGCCCATCTCACAAGAAACGTCCAATTTTGATGAGATTTCTATGAAGCAGAGTTTGATTTTCTCTGATTGTCTCAAGGTACTCATGCGTCTTTGGCGACATTCTTGAAAAATTACAGCTTTTCATCTATTGTTCACTCTCTTTCTGCATTTGACTTTCAGGATTTGAAGAACCTGAGAGCACAATTATACTCAGCAGCAGAGTATTTTGAACTCTCTTACACGAATGACGACCAAAAACAGATGTGAGTTAGTTGAAAGGCTTTTCTTAAAGAAGTAATCAGATTCTTCCTTCTATAAGCATTAGTTTATCAGAGAGTAAGCTGCAAACTTTCAATTTTTTCTTATGCAGAGTGGTAGAAACGTTGAAAGATTATGCTGTTAAAGCTCTTGTGAACACTGTGGATCATTTAGGTTCTGTTAGTTTTAAGGTTAATGATCTTTTGGATGAAAAAGTGGATGATGTTTCTGGAACGGAGTTCAGGGTGTCATGCATTGAACAGGTAAGATCAAGATTATTTTCTCTTCCAAATAATTGATAGAAAAAAATATAGATTTACAAATTTATTGTCATTGTGTTCGTTTCGTTGATGTGGGCTCATAGAGGCTAAGAACGTGCCAAGAGTATATCGATCACGAAGGACATTCCCAACAATCCCTGGTGATAAATACGCCAAAGTATCATAAGCACTACATATTACAAGGCAAGTTTACTGTTGTTACCCCCACCCCCGGTTTGTTTCTTTCGCATTCCGAGAAAAAAAGGTCTTATAGTTCATAAACTTTGCTCAGCGGGGGAGACCATGAACGGTGGTACCCAAACTCGATCCAAGAACAAAGGATGCAGCCTAGATGATGAAGATGAGTGGCACCAATTTAGAAATGGTAAGCTGCCGAGACAAACGTTTATTGTGAACTTCACTTTGGAAAATTTTCTAATGAAACTTCACCATTTATTAACTGATTTCCACTAGCCGTTCGATCAACTATTAGGGAAATGCCACCATCCGCTATCAGGTAAACAGCACATTTTCTATTGATCTTCCCCTAAATTGCTTACTTGCATTAATGAGTTCTTTATCTAGTTTGAACATTTCTCATGCAGTAAAGAAAATTCTCCTGTGCCTTCTCAACGACCTTCCCCGTCTCCGCAACTTAGAACGTTCTCGTTCACGTCTACCATGCCCAAGAAGGAATTAGGTTCATATGCTCTTTTCCCTTTAGCTGCCAGTTTGTGTGATATTGGTTTTAATGCAAATTATGTTTGTTTCAAACCAGATAAGCGGTCGGTTTCTCCACACCGGTTTCCACTTTTGCGTTCTGGTTCGCTCTCGAGTAGACCAAAGACACAAAGCTCAAGTCGACCAACGACTCCCAACTCAAGTACGCCAACCACTCCAAGCATTTCCAATGGGCAACGACGGGTGCGTTCATTTAGAGGAAAACGATATCACTTATTTGAATTGCATTTATGTTGTGCAAAAGTATATGGTGTTTTACTAGTAACTGAGATTTTGCAACATGAGTTTTTCTCTGCTACCAGTACCCTTCAGCACCCAGGAAATCAGCATCGATGCGGATGCCAGCAGAAAGGGATAACAGCAAAGATGTTGAACAATATCCCAGCAAAAGCAAACGCCTCCTGAAGGCCTTGCTTAGCCGACGCAAGTCAAAGAAAGACGATACATTGTACACTTACTTGGATGAATACTAAGCACAAGAGGAATCAGCTGGTGAATGGGGTCGTCAAATTCAATTCATTAGGGATGCCACTTTGTGCTTTCATGAACGTTATAGAATTCCATATACCAGTTTTCCTTCATCCCATGCTGAAGTCATTTCTTTGTTCTTTTCCACTTCAAATGATATGATGAACCACAATCACATCAAATTATTGTTTATATTTTAGTTTAATAAAATTGATATAATTTTTGTTGTTTCCAATTTTATCCATATATTAAGTAGGATTGGTTATTAACATGAATGATATCATCATGTGGGTGAAAGTGTTATCTCGTTAGATCTCAATGTTGGAATGAGTACCTTCACACTCGATCAAACCACTACAAATCATATTGTGGTAAAATTACAGATAGGTAGTAAATTAAAATGATAGCTATTTTAAGCATAAAGTGACAGTTGATATATGAGGGCCAGGGGCATGTAAGGCTATCAGAAATCCACTCCTCGTCCGAAATCTTCGATTGTTTTTGTGGCAAGAGTAAGCACGTCTACAAAAGCACTGAATGATGCACGCAGAAATCTTGCTTCCACTGCCTCAAGGTGTCTACGAGAAAAAAAAAAAAAAGAGCCAAAACATGATTGCAGAGAAATATGAACGCAGCAGCCTTACTAATGCTCAAAAGAATCCTGTATTAAGCTATTTTGGTACATTAAGAACCAGGGATTCGAAGAGAAAAAGAGGCTCACATAGAAAGTTTTCCATCAGAAACTGTCATCTCCCTTTTCACCTTGTCTGGCTGCAACTGTACTTAGCACAGAAATGGAATCAGAAACAAGTTAATTACGGAGGCACAATGTGAAGATTGATATCATGGAGAAGCACCTCTTTATCGACTACTAAAGCCTTGTACACAATTGAAGCTTTCTTCTCTGACTCATAATCGACTTCAAAGTCACTGCATAGAGCAAACCAGATTCAATACTTGGAAAAAGAGGCAAATTACTTGTTCTGTCTCTCTAGGAAGGCAATCAAGAAAAGATGAAAGATAAAATAGCAATGGTTGATCGCTGGCAAGACCCAAAAAACATCAGTTGCTTCCAGGAACCACAGCGAAAGATCAGAGCTTTGGCTAGTTAAAAAGGTCCTTCCATTCCAACAATTGAGAATTAATGGCATTTCTGAGCTTTCGAGACACTACTCTAGTCACAAAACAAAAATTTGAGCTTTCGGGGTAAAAATGGCTTGCCAGTTGCAAGAACATCATCATCATCATTGTCTTTTTTTTCCCCCCCGTGGAAAAACCAGTGAACCAGAGAAAGAACATAACCGATTAATCACAAGAGAAATACGATAAAGCTAAAAAGGCGAAGCTCACCCAAAAGCTAAAACAGCAACATTGTAACAGTGTTGGCGGTTAATAATTCCAACCCATTTGTTAGAGTTTGATGAGACCAAAAAATTATGTATTGTTTTAAAAATTATGTGGTAAAATAGGTAATAACTTCAGCTATTATAAGCCTAATAAATGCATGAAAACTAAAAAGAACTTACTAGAAACCACATATGAAAAGAAATATATTCCTTTCTTGAATGTTTTTTTTCAATAAAAAGTGTTTCAATTGATGACACATTTGAAAAGAGTTTTAAAGTGAGTTAATAACATTATTTTCTTTTCCTTTTTGAAATAGTGTATGCGAATGATTTTTGTTTTGAAATTAAAATTTAAAATTTAAAATTTAAAATTTATTTGGTCAAAAGAATATTAGGATTTAGCGACAATAAGAAAAGAATACTGGGATTTAGTAACAATAAAATAATAAAGGTAAAAGTAAAAATAAAAATAATAGAAAGGAGTTATGGGTACTAACCACAGGGAGTTTGGATTTACAGGAATGGTTAACATGCTTTATCCACTGAGATTTAGATAATTAGAGGACAGAAATGGCAAAGAGGGAGTCAGAGGACCCTTGAGAAACGGCGTCGTGTAGGAGCAGTGGACTGCACATCTTCCAGTAAACTGTGGAGCCGGTGAAGCGGATGGATTTCTACTTGCATCATCATAACCTCTCTTCGCCTTCTGCTTCGCCTTCTTCGCCTTCTAGGGTTTGTAATTGCAGCACTCTTATTGGACTTTCATTGGTAAACAGGATAAAGATGGAATTGAGGAAACGGAGTGACTTCTGAGGTTTTATTTTTGTTGGAACAGAGGAATCCTCTAACCTACTCACCAGTTACAGATAGCCACCCTTTTACTCCAGAAGATTGTAACAAAACTGGAAAATCAAAGCCATTCACATCCACTTTCTTGGACTCTAATTGCTTCGCATTGAAAATCATTAAACCGGGGTAAGCATTATTTTTGTCAATCCAAAACCCTAACATTTGAGATGGAAAAGTCTAGATCTAAGAGAAACTACTACTATGACCACCAAGACTATGATTCCGAGGCGATGGGTAGAACCAGACCTCGTTACAACAATCACTACGCCAATAATAACTATCGTCACCGTGGGAGTGCTGTTCGACCGACTAAACCTCAAGACCAATCTCTTATGGTCACCACGACTTACAGGATACTCTGTCATGATGCCAAGGCCGGGGGAGTTATTGGCAAATCTGGTAGTATCATTAAGTCCATAAGGCAGCACACCGGCGCGTGGATCAACGTGCATGAGCTTGTTCCCGGCGATGAGGAGAGAATAATTGAGATATCGGACACTCGGCGGCGGGACCCGGAAGGCCGGATGCCGTCATTCTCTCCGGCGCAAGAAGCGCTTTTCTTGATTCATGAAAGGATTCTCGAGAGTGAGATGAGTCCTGGGTTCAATGGAATGGGCTATGGTCCTGAGGATGAGGAGGATGACTACGGCGGCGTTAGAGGAGGAGCTGGTGGCGGTAGTAGCCGTGTTGCAACAAGGCTTGTCGTGTCTAGAATGCACGTAGGTTGTTTGCTTGGCAAGGGAGGAAAGATAATCGAACAAATGAGGATGGAAACCAAGACCCAGATAAGGATTCTTCCCAGAGATCACAATTTGCCTCGTTGCATTTCAATGTCGGAGGAGATTGTCCAGGTTTAGTTTCTGAACACTTCAATATCTTGAAAGACTACCCGCTTGCTTCTTGCTATGATAATCTAAAAATTATCGAGCTTGGAATTCCTATTGATTCAAGCTGACAAGTGTACCTCTTTCTATGTCCTGGGTGGTTTAAAGGAAGCAAATTTACTTTTGCAATGCTTAACCGAAGTCGCTAATTGGGTGCTTAGAAGTTGGAACATCTTAGAACGTATAATAAGACCGTAACCAAAATGGTGTCTATGAGCAGTTTAGCAGTGAAGTGGCGGGTTCTTTGAATCTGCTGCTGTCTCGTAATTGCTTCACTAGCTATTTGAGAAGCTAACAGAGTTCTACCTGAAATCATTTGTTCAGAACTCTTCAAAATTGTTTCTTACTCCATATCTTACTCGATGGATGTGTTTAGAAAAACCGGTCATATCGGCAGAAACTAAACTTTTCTATGGGGACGTCACATCTATCTTGCACATTAAATTGCTTGGTCTTTTCATTTGCTGATTCCTTAGTTGATTTTTGAATTAACTTATTGAATTCCATTTCAAATATTATATATATTGAGGAAGTCTCTTCTTTTCATTTCATGTTTCTATTTACTTGTCGGGGCAGGGTTCTACGGTATTAACAATCCTTAATGTCATTTGGACTTGTTAAAAATACAGTGAAGATATAAGAGATATGTAGCCTTTCATTGTGATGTATCTTTGCTTATATGAGCAGATATTCTTTCATTTTTAGGAGGTTGCTTAAATTCTAGTATTTCACAGATTGGAGGTTCGAAAGCTATATTGAAATGAATTATATAATTGTGTCATAATCTATTTGATGCTTATTGGGATTCCAATTTTTGGCGCCAAGATAGATCCCTTATCCATCTATCATGGATAACAAACCTGGATATAGATAACTTAAACTTGAGCAATGTCTTGATACAAAATGAATTAAATATACAGATATGGTGACAGGAACAATTTAAGCTTCTTTTTTTCTAAGTTCTTATGACTTCGTTAAGCCATTCTTTGAGTTATGAAGAACATATGTGTATATTGGGTTTTAAACCCTCTGTAGATTGTTGGAGAAGCAAATGCTGTAAAGAAAGCTGTAGCTATCGTTTCATCACGCTTGAGAGAGAGTCAGCATCGCAACCGTAGTCATTTCCATGGGCGTCTACATTCACCAGAACGTATTTTACCTCCTGATGATGATTATGTTCCACCTATTGCCCGACGATTATCGATGGATGGACGACCATTCAGACCACGCATATCTAATACAAGAGGCAATGACTATTCCAACCGTCAATCTAATTTTTTGGTGGAGCCTGGAGCTGCTTCTGTTAACGACAATATGATGCCCTTTTATGGTGAGGACCTTGTATTTAGAATATTATGCCCAATCGATAAGGTTGATAGTGTTATTGGAGACTCTGATGGAATCATAGAATTACTTCGGGATGAAGTTGGTGTGGATATCAAAGTTTCTGATCCTGTGACGGGTTCGAACGAACAGATTCTAATAATTTCTTCGGATGAGGTACTCCAACTTCCTTTTTCCTTGTTGGCATATATCATGATTCACTTTTGCCAAGGGTCAAATCACTCGAGTATACCTTTACTTGCAGAAGATATATTAGGAGTTATACAAGCAATCGTTGAACTTACTTATTTTCCATTTATATTTTCATTTTTTCCTTGTTCAACTTTCTGATTGGCAAATTTGAGTTCTTAGGGTCCAGATGATGAGCTTTTTCCAGCACAGGAAGCTTTGTTACACATCCAAACTCGCATTGTTGATCTTGTTCCTGATAAAGATAACATCGTAACTACAAGGTTACTTGTACCATCAAGTGATATTGGATGTTTGGAGGGAAGAGATGGATCATTGTTAGAGATGAAGAGACTAACCGGTGCAAATGTACATATTGTGCCACGAGAAGAACTTCCCATGTTTGTATCAGGGGCTGACGAGCTCGTACAGGTTTGTCATTGAACTTCAAATAGACAGGAGTTCTTGGAATTTGTTAAAAGATGCTTGATGTAACTTCTTATTTTATTATACTTTTTAGATAAATTTCTTCTTATATAAATCAGTTACAGAGCATGGCCCTGGACAGTAAAGGTAGCAGTCTTTGAGATACTATATGCATATTCTTTTTCTTGTTCTTTTTCGAAGGATTAATATGCAGTTACGAAGTCTCGAGTTAATCGGAAATATAGTTCTTTCTTGATGTGTAAATTGGTTTTTGAGTAAGAATTTGATAAAGGATTAGACGGTTGACTAATGTGGCTGATTGGAACTGATGATTTTGCTTTCAGAATTCCTAATTCCATAAACTACAATTTTTGTAGATCATAGGAGACATAAAAGCAGCTCGAGATGCAGTTGTTGAGTTAACATCTAGATTACGAAATTATCTTTACAAGGAACCATTCCAGAAAGATGCAAGTCCTCCAGTCTCATTACCAAGCACCATGGGCAGTTTAGGACTCGAGGAATCATCTTCAAATAATAATGCTGCAGCTCGTGAAGTTCATAGTGGAAATGATTCTTCAATCACAGCCTATCAAAATGTGCAACCTTTTGGAACACCACAGCTTCTAAAGGTTACTTGTTTTCTTAGCCTTTTTTTTTAATCTTTTCTCTTGATGAGGGAATTGTTTCTTTTCAAAACAGTCTCTTCTCAGCCATTATGAGTGGTGGCACTTTCTTTCTTTGGATACGAAACTATTTCAGAGTAAGGTTCTTCTGGAAACTGCTTCTGTATAGAATTGCTTTCTCTTTTGGACAAGTAGTAAAAGATTCTACTCCTTTGCGAGTCTACTGGAAAAGACAAGTGTTCTGGCCAACCTAGGAGAACATTTGGTTTCTATTATGTGTTTCTTTCGCATTATTATGTAGGAGTATTTCTTGCTCTCGTAACATGCCTGGAGCACTCCGTAAATTATATTGCATTTTGAGTGCACACCTCTAAGACTTCAGTTCTGCACCCAAATGATTCAAACTATCAATTTGCAGGAAAATGGAGGGTCGAGCAATGAAACTGGTACGCAGAATGAAAATGACCGACGTGAAGATTTGCCTAGTGGGTTAAATAGGTAGGAACTTCATCATTCTGCAATGCTGATTCCTCCCCTCCCCCATTTCTTTTGGATCAATGGGGCCTTATATAAGCTACAAATGATTCCATGGTCCAATCCAGCCCGTCTTTTACACACGTTTCCCTTATGTCTTAGTTTATTCTGCTTCTACTTCTGCTTGTTTTATAAGTTAGATGAATGGCTGTTGAATGTAATATATAAGTTTTGACGTTGCTGTTAGAATCCCTGTGCCGCTTGTCACTCGGAGTACACTTGAAGTTGTGATACCAGAGGCTGCAGTTCCCAAGCTTATAACAAAGTCAAAAAACAAGCTTGCTCAGATCAGTGAGGTGGTATTAGTGAAATTTTGTTAACTCTTGTGTAATGCATTCATGAAACGCCTTGGCTGATATTTTGTTTCTTAACAGTTATCCGGAGCCAATGTTACACTGGTAGAAGATAGACCAGATGAAACCCAGAAGATAATCCAAATATCAGGCACACCAGAGCAGGCCGAGAGAGCCCAGAGCTTGCTGCAAGGCTTTATTTTGAGCAGTAAGGCTCTGAAACTAACCCATTTTGTGTTACATTTCTGCTTCTATGTTACCTTTGTCTCTGTATTCATTCATCTGTTCGACATTTTCAGTGCAAGAAGATGGGCCATAAGTTGTGGCCATTTGGTTTTACACTAAACTCTAGTTGCCCATAAAAAGCATTATTGCCCGCCCCATCAAGATCGACTGTAGTACCGTGGAAGAGCCATGGAGGAAGAGGAAGCCACATTAACCATTGCCATGTAAATTTGGAATGTACAACAGTTTTCATTCCTTTTGTTGTTTCACAAATATTTACGTTTGTAGGAAGCAAGTTCGGTATCACTATCTCCATGGCTATTGAAATCAATATTAAGCATCTATTAGTTTTTGGTAAAGCTTAATTATGTTAATCAACAAAGGTTTAGTGAAAGTTTAATGGCTGTCTATTTTATTTCGACTTTAAATTATGAATTTGGATTTTATTTATTTTTAATCACAATTTATGATTCTTTTTCTTTTTAAAATGTTTAATTGATAACTTGATATCCACTATTAATTAAATGTTAATCGATTCTAAAGGTAAACAAAGGGTACAAACTTAGCAATTAGCAATACATTATTTTGAATCGATGAGAAGTAAATTAATGAATAAAAATAATTGTTTAAAATTTATGAAAAACATATTACTTTCAATACTTTAATTTCTATATTTTCAGCTTAGAAGAGGACACTTTTCTTGAAAACTTGAAGAGGGAGGTTTATTTATCCAAACGGAGAAAGTATCATCCCAAAATGAAGAAGATAGGACAACGATGACTACAATTCCATCACTCTCCTTTGCTTCACCTGTAATCACTCTCTCCTTTTCTTTCTCCGTTTGGTTCTTTGGCAAATAATGGCTGAAATATCTGTGTTATGCTTTTGCTCTTTTTTATCTTTAGCATCTTTTCCAAAGCACATTAAATTTTGCTTAATGTTGGCCATTTTTTCTAGTTGTTACAGAGGATAGAGGTGAGGGTTGGAATTTCTCATGGATTTAACTCTCCTCCCCGGCTACAGGTTAAGATTCGAGAGATTCTTTCAACAACGAAGCTAGCCATGCTCTTGTCGCCCTTCATTGTTCACGTTTTCTTGTTTTAGTTTTCAGGTGGCCGCCAGAAAGCAGGGAAATGGTGAAGGTGTCGGGCGGCGAGTGTGGCGACGAAGAAAATTGGTATCTTAATTTCTCCCTCACCATTTCTTAATTTCTTTTGTCTCATTCATGTCACTCTCTCAAACTGCACCAGTCGAACTCACAATTTAAAAACAAAATCGATGGAAGCATCGAAATTTCCTAACTTGACCTAAAGTTTCTTTAAAGAAACCAAGTTTGTGTAATGATATGCGGTATATTGCAACTGCCTAAATCTCTGGGAGCAGGAATTTCTATCTTTCGTGTCGTCTTTTACCCTTCTTTTGTGGTATAAAAAAGAGAGATTTTGTCGTATAAAAAAGAAGGATTGTAAGCGCCACCTTGTGGTTAGTGTTTCTTTGCTATTAGTATTGATTGGGAACCACAGTTTACAACACAGATTTGTAAACGTTGGAAAAAACAAACATGGGTTATTCGGTGCTTTTGTGACGAAAATTGGAGATGTTTGCTTGTTCTAGCTGCTGCTTTGATTGATGCATCCGAATACATGGTGTTTTATGATAACTATCTAAATGTGGATGTGTCAGAAATGATCCCACTTTTTAATCCATCGAACTTTTGTGATTATTGATGATTAGGACACGAGCACAATGGGTAGTTAAAAACTCTCAAAAGAGTATGTGGAGTTGTGGGTTCATGGTGGTATTCAAATCCTACAAGTTTCTTAGTCATCATATATGTTGAACAGGCAGTTGTGTAGATGAAATTAGGCGAGTTGTGTATTGGCTCATGTACTTCTAAGGAAAATAATGGTATGAACTGTACACTCAGTATAGGATTAGGTGGAATGGAGGATAGATTGAGATGATTAATCACTTTAACACATGCGGATTATACTGCTTGCGATTATTGCGATGCGAACTAAGTAACGTCGCCCTGAGAGCTTATCCTCAAAGTGGACAATATCATCCATTGTGGAGAGTCGTGTAGTTTCTCGAAACAAATAGAATACTGAGATGGTTTTGGATTACAGGCCAGTTTCTCCTGGCTCAAATTATTTCTTTTTTAACTTGAAGCCTGAAATCGTTTATGATGAATGATTCTGACTAAAATTCTACATGTTGTTCTCATTGACATTGAAACATTGAATTTGATTCATTGTGCAGACGAAGAAGGATGAGATGTCGATCTTCAAAATGAATCGAATTCCATTCCTTGAAGAACAGGTAAGGAAGGTAAAGGAACAGGGGAAGCTCATAACAATGGACATCGAAAGACTTCTATTATCAGAGGACAACCGCTTCGATTTTGTGAATGAGGTTGCAGCGGAGGCTAAGGAATACGTGGAGAACAATCGTGACGAATATGGGGGTTCCAAGAAAGCCATTCTTCATGTTCTTAGCAACCGAGTGAACGATGCAGGGTTCTATCGGCCGGATGCATATGCAGAAGAGGACCCATTTAAACCCGGACCTCATTACCTCAAACAAGAATTTACTTGAACAACCTTATTACAAAACCCATTTTCCTATACAAACTTAGTCTATGTATTAATTTTCTTTTCCCAGTTGTTGTATGTTACAATCTGTTACAAGACAATAAGAATCGAACTTAGCCTCAAATTCCATTCGTTTGCTTACTAACCTCCTTCAAAACGCCAACCTGTGTCTGGAGAATAAAAAAGTAGTGGTATTCAGAGTATACCACCAGCTAAGTGTTATTTTCAATTGTTGTGGCTATCTGAAAATTTCAATCTATTGTTATACAGCAACAATGAAGCTTGGCCTCAAATTCCATTCCTTTGCTTACTTGAGCTCCTCTAAGATGTCAACCTATTTCTCAAGGGTCAAACTAATTGCCAAATTATAAGATGAAGCAGAAAGTGGAACAAGAGCCAAGAGAAGTTGAGAAAATCATTGTCAAGATTACAACTTTGAACGTGAGCCACAGATTTTACAGTCGGACCCCACTTGGTGATAGTAGACCTGCAGGTTGCATCTTCTTGTCCGTCCTAGAATGAAGCGATCTATCTTCACAGCTGTGGGCAAGATTCAAAATATCTTAAAATATGGTATCTGATCCGTTAATCCACTTAGAGGCCTTCCTTCATTCTCTTATCCTTCCCACTTAATTTAATTTCCTTTACTATCTCTATCTCTCTAGTTTCTACGAAAGTATTTGATTCGAGTCAAAATCTCAACTGGGTTTGGTTTCCCGAATCAGTAAATGGCTTTGCTGAGTCCTCGATTGCATAGATTCCGCCTAACCAAGCTCCACTATGCCTCCGCCTCCATACCCACAAAGACAAACCAGCTCACTCTCAGAAGAAAAAGCCGTTGCTGCTCCTCCATAGCTATCGATGCTCCATCTTCTTTAACAGATGCTGCGGGAATCAGATGGGGCTCGACGACTCTGCAAGGATTGCGCGAAGAAATGGAGGACGACGTTGTTGTGCGGTCTGATGGTCTTAGTGGCTTCTTGTTTGCTGCAGTGTTCGATGGCCATGGTGGCTATTCCTCCGTTAAGTTCCTCAGGTGGGGAATGACAGGGCAACTTGTGGTGAAGTCATTCAGAATTTTATGTTTTCATGAAGTCCAATTTAACTTGCGAATGTTTTGGGGAATGGAGGCTTTAATTTTGATGCTTGGCTTTATTACAGTGCCAAAAGTTAATCATAATCATTAATCATCATGACACAAAAATCATAGTGGCTTTGACAATTGTATTGGTGTAAATGATGTTGTAACAGAGAGGAGCTGTACAAAGACTGCGTAGCAGCTTTACAAGGTGGCCTGCTGTTGAATGGAGGGGATTTTGAAGTGATAAAAGCAGCTTTGGCGAAGGCTTTTGATGAGACTGATAAAAAGTTACTCCTTTTGTAAGTGAAGCATCCAGTTTTCCACTTGGTTATATGTGTGTTGGCAATGCAATTCTCTATTTGACGTAATTTTGCTACACTTGTAAGGCTTGAAGCAGAAGGGGAGGAAGATGAGTCTGGTTCCACGGCAACTGTTGCGTTCATACGAAACGATGTGTTGTTCGTTTCTCATGTTGGCGACTCTTGTGTTGTAGGCATCCCGCTGATCTTCATCTCAGTTGCAAAATTCAATCTGTAGTTCAAAAAGAAACTCACATCCAGGGACATTTAAGATGTTGCAAGTTCATAGTTGGTTTTTTGATGGCAGGTATTATCTCGTCCTGGAGGAGCACAGTTGTTGACTAGTTCTCATCGGCCTTATGGAAACAACACCACCTCACTGCAAGAAGTTAAAAGAATTAGAGAAGCAGGTGGATGGGTGTGTGTTTCTCTTGAAATTGGCTGCATGTTTCACTTTACTCTGATTCTCTAGTTCCATATAAAACTTGATCATAAGATGGTTAGAAACTTTGCCTGGAAAGTATTCATAAGAAAAAAAGTTTTATCTGAGTTTTGCCTGCGTTAATCTGTCATTTTGACATGTTGGAATGATGCCCTGCCAATATTATTTACCAAAACCCCATGTCTTCTATGAAGCATTAAAAGTTAGATGATCTTTACATCTTTTGGTGTCTTTAGATTGTTAACGGAAGAATCTGTGGGGATATCTCTGTATCGCGTGCATTTGGCGACATACGGTTCAAGACGAAGAAAAACGAGTTGGGTCCTTTTACTCTCTTCTAATATTGTCCAGCTTTAGAATATTCCGTTCTTCTTAGCCAATAGTAATATACTTATACCGAGTATCATATGCCTCTCTTGATGGCTCATTCTATGTAAAAGGATGCTACAAAAAGGAGTTGAAGAAGGGAGATGGTCTGAAAAGTTTGTTTCTCGGTAGGTATGCTTTATGATTCATCACTTCTATCATTTTTATTTTATTGCTGCTTATTGTAAAATGTTTGCCTTATTTTTCGTCTGTTTAGTCAGTTATTCCAAATACTAATCGACTTTACGAGGCAGTTTGACTATAGATACTTTTAACTCATCAGTGTACGTTTCAATGGAGACTTGGTTACTGCATCACCGGAAATTTTCCAAACTACACTGGGATCAAATGTTGAATTTATGCTGATAGCAACAGATGGCCTATGGGATTACATGAATAGGTTTGTTGGGACTCATTTTTGTCCCCAAGTTAGTTTATCAGATTGTTCATCAACTTCGATCTAGACAGACTAAAAAAAGTGCCATTTTGGGTATTATTGCAGATCCGATGCGGTTAAGTTTGTTCGAAATGAACTTAGACAGCATGGCGATGTTCAGGTGTACATCATGTTACCTGTGTTGTTTTACGCACTCTATTTCTTGAGTGCACCTTCTATAAATTACCATATCTGACATCATGTTACCTTGATTTCAGCTAGCTTGTGAAGCCCTCGCGCAAGCAGCCTTGGTACTACTCAGACAATATGATTTCTTTTGAAGTTTGTAATGGGGGAGGGATTTGCTTTATAATTCTGATATAAAGCAAGTATTGTTTTTGTATTCTGCAGGATAAAGGGTCACAAGACAATATTAGCATTATCATGGCTGATTTCGGGTGAGTACCCGTTCGATTATACGTATTTTCAATGAGTTGACAAGACAATATTATCTTTCAAACATGATTTAGACCAAGTGTGGATGCAGGCGGACGGATTGGCAGAACTTTCAGATGAAGCAAGAGAACGTCATATTTGAAGTGGCTCAAGCTTTTGCTACGATCGGGGTCGTTTCTCTCGGTATTTGGTGGGCGTCCTCGACTTTCTCCCTTTAAAGTTCCTTCCATACTTTTTGCCTGTAAAGTGTAATTGAATAATCATACAATGTATCACATCCTAGCTTTTAAATGACTTAACATATCCTCAAAAGAATTGCAAATTCTTCTTTCTCTTGTAGTTTGAATTATAAAACTGAAAATGTGATGCCTTAACTATCGTGCCTGTAAAACTGCACAACAAACTGGATGCATTCTACACCTTCCATTAGGATTCAAAACTTTTCAATTTGGAAGACTTATTTTTTGCACAAGGAACTTATCATCTTTCATCAGAAGTAACGGATATCTCTTCAGGCAATCTAACCTTCTCGTACGAGATAAAAATCTCGAACATGGTACTTCTTTTGCTCTGTTTAAAGAAGCGTAAATAGCTTCCAAACATGAAAAAACCAAATAGTTACCTCTTTCTTCTCCATAGATCTGCTATATTTTACAGTACCTTGTACCAAGACTCATCTTAGTATCAAAATCCAGAGGGGTGGGGTGAGTTACAGCTCTTGTATCTATCAAAATAGAAAGCAAGATCAAGCTCATCGGACTCTCTTCCTCGCTCGGTACATCGTCCCCTCGAGTTTGGAATTCGATATAGCTGTTGTATATATCATAGGCATGGTGGAGAAATTCATCAAAATTGAGCTTTCCATCTCTGTCATGGTCCATGTGCCTGCATATTAAACACAAGCTGATGCTTTGGCTTTCCATGACCAAAGATCATGGAGATTCACCCAATTCATTGCAATTTACAACAACGGTGGCAGCAATAATCAATCAAAACTCAAGACTAAACTCTCTCTACCGTTTTCATTTTCCCAATATTTCTTATTTTAACGCTCAAACATGCAAAAAGACGATGACCCAGATGAGAGAAAAGAACATTGAGGCACTGAATTCATCTCTTTTTTTCAGATTCAACGATGACCCATTGAAAAAGATGATAAAACGTTTGTGTCTGCTAATTAACAACTTCAAAGAAGGAAAATGAAAGAGAAAACAGAGAGAAAAGTGTTGAAGGCTGCAAATATAGAAATCTCTGATAGGGTAATGAAAACCAAAAGAGCATCATTTCTTGCAACATTTCTTGCCGAAATGAGCATCGCAGAAGGAAGCAGCAGTAGCATGATATAAAGAAAGAATGAATTAATTCCCATTTTCATCTGCTGCTCTGTTTGGAATACTCATTTGAGCAAGAAACATTGCAAGGAGGATGATAAAACTCACACCTCTCTCAACTCTCATTTACTGTAACCGTAATTGGGCGATGATAGATGGAATTACATGAAGCAGAAGCATGTGGTTTAGTTTCTTATAAATAGAAACCAGAGAGGTGGAAAGCTGGGTTTGCAGGGAAATGAGCAAAAGAACATGAAGCTAGGGAATGGCGACAAAAGTGGTTCTGCCAGCCTGCTAATAGCCTAAGGTTTCTTTCTTTTTAAATTTTTCCTCACAAGTCAGAACTCTGTCTGTCTCAATTATGTGTTGGGTTTGGTTGGTTTAGATTTTGAAGAGATAGGAATGTTGGGTAAGAAAGGACACAGATCTGAAAGAGAATGTCAGGTGGTATTGTGGAACGACAGCTGAAATTGCTTCAAAACCCAACAAACTTTCAAAAAAAAAAAAAAAAACACAAATGCGCATCCGGGGAATCGAACCCCGGTCAGTACCGTGGGAGGGTACTATGATACCACTACACTAGATGCGCTTCTTTGGTGAGTTTGAACTGTAAATATAATTATAACAGAGTAAAATCACAACCTCTAATAACAATGAAAGCAAAATCATCAGATTTTCTCCCTACAAAAAGTTAAGGTGGATGGGTTCAGAGTGCAAAAATGAAATGAAAATAGAAAACAGCAATAATGCTTCAATGGGAGAGGGGGTTCTCTCTTTGAAGATGTATTACTTAC